GAAGCTGATCTTAAAGACTTAGCTATATCATTTAGAGTTGACATTGTCAAAATGTAACTATTTCGAAGAACACAAGTGATGAACAAAATAATACAGTAAAATGAAAATTTAGTTTCGAATTTAAAACAAAAGTTTTGATTTTAGCACAATAAGTTCTGGTGGCAAAAATATAGTTTCAGTTCATCAAAATTGAATTCGAAAGACTCTTTGAACATCTCACCTTCATTGAACAAGAACCGGTCGAAGCCCCCATGTGAACTCGGCATCTAGGAGATTTCTAAGCTGACGATACACATCTCGGTGACTGAAGTACTTTATTTAGCTATTGGCGGAGATACATTAGTGACTATTTGCAAATGGAAAAAAAAGAGTGATGACTGAGAGATTACATCTTTGTTGTCTAATCAGTTCGTCTTAGTCGAAAGCAAGACTGCTCTCCTTATCTTCCATCATTCATCTCACTGGGATACAGTTAGTCGTGTTGAGTAGTCGCAGTCCTGCTACTTACGTGTATTTCCCATTTCAGAGGCGACGAAACTTCCTGAACCCATTATGACTCCACCCCCGTGCTCAACAATAGGCTATCGGTGTGTCGGATTGTGTATTCCTGATTTGGGCTTCGTCTCAGTGTAATTCGTCCTTCGGAAGCAAATACAGTATATATTGTATAATATTGTTCCAGTGGGATAAATCTGGTCACACAGGAACAATGTTAATTCATGGTCCAATAATAGTAATCCATGGTCAAATAATAATAATAATAATCCATGGTCAGTAGACCATGGATGTTTCGAACGCCAAGCGTATTTTCTTCGTTTTCTTCTTGACATTCTTGCCAATCGTTATTTTAATCGTGTGCCCTAATGAGTCTTTTAACAGTTTTCGGTTAACTGTTATTGCAAACCGTTCCTGTAAATTGGCTGCAAGTTTTACAGCACTATTTTTTTAGTCGAGTTTTCATAGAATAAATGTCCATTTCACTTAATAGTAACTTGGAACGCTGTCTAGACTTCCGCGAATTTTCAAAAGTTCCACGCACTTTTTATCATTTTATTACATTAAACACAGTTGAACGCTTCACGTCAAGAATGTTTTTCATATTTTGAACAGTTTTACCCTATTTAAAATTATTGTTGTTTAAAACTTTAACAGAATCAGTAGTTAATTGGTAGCGTCTTGCCAAGCTCAATTCAGATATGAAACCGTTAATAAATTTTGATAAGTAAGTAACAATTTCCAAATACAGAGACTAATTCTTCTGATGTATTTTCATTTACAACAAAAGTTTATGGCGAGAAACATCATCTGCCAAAAAATCTAAACAGAAGTGCGTCTGAAATAGTGTATGAGTTCGATAAATTATTTTATTACAAGAAATATTTTAATGATATTTACTTTGTATTAGGGAAGGTTTAAAATACAGAAAATATAACATATTACCAAAAGCATTTGGAGTGAATATTTAGCGCAAAATCTGTGCAAATCAATTTAAAAAATACGAGTTTCCGAAAACAAATGTGAGCCACCGGTACAGCTAGTAAACGTTACTAAGCTGCTTGCGAAACACCATCTGTTTTAACTCAACGGCATTTCTGGTGATTTGTTTTTAGTCAGATAAAATAGCAAATGTTTAGCTTCCGTTATCTAAACATATTTACACTGTTCACGGTTGAATTAAGTCCGGGATAAACTATCCGGATCTGTCTTTATAGCTCGTAAATTTAACAAACGGCAAAGGAATAAAAGCAGAAACATTAGTCAAGGCAGACTCCAGCATTCGGTAAACTTATTCCACAATTCACTGTTCCTAATGTGCTGTTGACTTAAATAAGAATGCTATTCTTTTACCTATCTAAAAAAACTGGCCTTTCAAAAACGAAACTTGCTCTTTTCTTCCCATGGATGCGAGTATATAGAATACGAAGACATGAGAGTCATAACTAAAGCTTAAATTCTTTAAGAAAATTACAAAGCTTCAATTTTTAAATCTTCTCAGTACTACAAGAGTCATCGGCGACAAAGTTTCAAAAGCAAACAAATACGAACTCATTAGAAAGCTTCGGCAAACACTGCCACGCGCATATCCAAACTTCGAAGACTATATAAAGCATTTTATATTAATTAACCAATCATTATGATTTGAACATTTACTATAACTTTTCCTTCCGTAGATCTCATCAGAAGGCGAATTAGTTGTCTATTTAATCCGAGGGTTTTGAATGCTTAGATGAGAGTTTCTGGGAGCCGCGTCTTGCTGTTTTTTTACTATCATCAGCTCTGCCTAAGTTGTATTCTGACTTTAAGGTCTTGCTAACCGCGTCGTTAAATGTCTGAGCCAACTTGAGTAGTCTATTTTTGTGCTCTTCTGGCTACATTACCTTCATCTGAATTTTAAAGTTATTTTATGTTAATTTTAATTCTCCCAAGTAGTGGACGTTTGTCTGTTACAGAAGTCGTGCATTTCTGTTCATTTAACCCTTTGACGGGCGATGGGACGCCAGACATCCCACCTTTTTATCAGGTTTCATCTCCTAGATGAAAGTTGCAAAATTCCATTTAAAATACATACAATTACGCATTTTAGTTCTCTAAATGTATAACAGATGGCAGCACTAGTATTCATTCATGGAAATCATGTACAATAAATATTTTTTTCAGGTCTAATTTTGAAGCAGTTTTCTTTTTTTTTTTCCCTTAATTTCTAATGCAATTTAAATTGTCTGAACAACTTTTGGTGCTAGAATGAATATTTTTATGTTAAAGTTTCCTTTTCTAATAAAAATTATCATTTGAATTCATTTATATTAATGAAGAATGGTTGAAATTAAATGGTGGGAGAAATACGTCCGACAGCGCATGTAGGAATTGCTGCTACTAGATGGCAGCACCGTTCGAATATTTTTAAATTCAAGTATCGGGTTCATTTTATATGTTGATAATGCAAATTTATATATTTAATAAGTTGTAATAATGAATTCTGCTACAAAATTCAGTTCTTTAAGAAACAGTATTTATTTTTTGAATGAAAATAAATTTTTAAATGAAAATATAACTCTGTAACATGAAATGTCATTTGCATACTGAATGGATATGTGTAATTGTTTTTAATTTTTTTTTTTTTTTTTTTTCGAATATGATCAATATTTTCTAGATAATTATTCAAAAACTTTTTTACTTCCTTTAAACTCATATCGCTTATACTATTTGTGTTATTCATTTTTACTTCCTTGTACGAAGTAAAAACGAAGAACTGTAATCGCGAAAAGTTTCAGGCAACATATTTCAACGAAAATATCCATTTTGACCGCTATCGAATGCAATTTAACGATGTTTTTGCGTGATATCTGTGCGTAAGGACAGAATAAAAGACACATTTCCTCCAAAAAAATTATAAAACTGCTTTAAAATGAATTCTGAAGAGAATTTTTCGTGGCGTCTGTACGAACGTATGTATGTACGTACGTGCGTACGTATCTCGCATAACTCAAAAACGAGTAGCCTCAGAACGTTAAAATTTTGTATATAGGACTGCTATAACATGTAGATGTGCACCTCGTATTTTGGTTGCAATCGGCCGCACCAAACGTATATAAATATATTTATATATATATATTCACTCTGTTACCCGGCTCAGTGATCTCAGTATCTTTACTCTTATATGTTTGTAAATTGTACATTTTTTGCTTTAAAAATGATTGAATTATGCTGTTTTTATCTTCCGGTTAAGGTTTTTATGCCTTTCGTAATTCTGGAAGCAATATTTGTACAATTATCAACAATTTAAAAGCGGTTAGCAACAATTTAAAAGTGTTTAAGTGCGGTTTTTCAAAAGTTTTAAATAACATGGCGGACATATTTGTTTACATTTGAAACAGCAGAATTGTAGATTTGTTGCCAATCTTGAGAGACTAAGCTTCGCAACACAAAAATAACGCCTTCATTTATTATTGCGAATTAAATCATGCTTAATCCTTTCTGGAATTTTTTCGAGGAAATAAGTGTTTAAGATTTACTTCGTAAATTTTAATGGAGATATTTTGAGTTTTTATGTATTTTTTGCCTTGTCGCGAAGTGAGAGCTGAATTAATTGAATGAGAAATACTAAATCGCCTGTGAAAAACTGTTTCTTTTCTGTTTTGTTATTAATTTCTTTCAAACATCGTTTTAGCTTTATTATAACATTTGAATAGAACATGTGGCAACGATAATTCTTCAAATGATATAAATTTTGTGCACTCAGAGTGTCGTTATAGTAAACAAATATAGTGAATTTTAAAGAGAGCATTTATTCTATTGTGGTTTATGCGCTGTCGACGAAGTAGATTTAATTCAATGCAATCAATTTAAATGAAATTCAAGAAAAAAATGCGTATAATTTAATATTCCGTACAAGGAAATCATGTGGTGTACACATCAGATTTTTTTATCTTGCATTTTCATTTGGTTTCTAAAACTAGCACTTTTGATAAGCATGTTAGAATTTATGCTCAGGCAAAGATGCCATTTTACTGCTCTAGATGCGCGGTGGGACAAGCGGTATCCCACCACGTGATAAATTACCTTTTTTTTTTTTTTTTTTTTTTTTTTTTTTTTTTTTTTTTTTGCATGAAATAACATTGTATTAGGGGCTAATTATCTATGTGTAAAGTTATTATTACCCCCAAATTTTTTTATGCACCGAATCTCAAGGGGTTAATAAAAAGGTTATTTTAACATTCTTTAGATTTTGTTATTTGTTTCAGATTAAGCGATAACTTGCTGTGGATCGAGTAGGGTCTGCAAGACTTTAGTGCTCTGGAACAGTTAATGAAAAAAATTGCAAGTGTTTGAGCAAACTTTTGGGCTCTAAACAAACTAATCAAATTTCCGAGAAATTCAGTGCTGTTTACAATCTTTCTTGAACTATGAGAATATCATGTACTGTGCTTCATTAAACCAACTTAATGGATAATGCATTAAAACTGGTTTATTTATTTTATTTTTTATTTTCTTTGTCACAGTGCGTTCAACAGCAGAGTGAAGCAAGAGCAGTTGGAAGAATTATTCCAGAGGGAGGGAAACCACACTTTCTTCTTGCCCGTAGCGGCAGGACAAGGCCACAGTTTCAACAGACATCAGGGTGTGGACAAATGGGTAATTATCCACTACAGTGTTTTGATTGATTAATTGATCATTATTACTTAGTTATTAAATTTCTATACTTCTGTGTCTTTTGGGATTTAAACCACAGATCTTTTGAGAGCGGAAAGCTGTTCGATTTAAACCATAGGAATAATAATTTTTCACCACTTCAATAATCACAGAAACCTGGATTTCAGTACGTCAGCTTGTAATATTTAATGCTAATGTTCTAACACATTTAACTATTTTACTTGATAAAATTTGGCCTATTTTGAATATCCATACCATTACAGGTTCAAGTATGAGGGACATCCGTTAGTCTCCATGGGTCGTCAGGTAACGTCGATGCATACTAGCAAGCTAACACAAACGACACCCCTACTAAAACACATGCGATAACATGCACCGCCCCTCAGGGCACAATGCAAAACCATCTACTTGGTATAGTAAGACAGGCGGGACAAGCTCCTCTGTGGCACTCGCAGCAACGCAACTTTCAAATGGAATGCAAATTGATCACATATTTTATAGTATTTTCTGTATTTTGCATATCGTTGTAAAATAGATGATGTAAAAAGGACCGGTAGTATATAATTACAGGCTCGGGTGGCGCAGGGGTTAGCACGTCGCGCAGCAGCACCACAAGTCCGGGGTTCGATCCCCAGGCTGGACATTGTTGACTCAGCCTTTCATCCCTTGAATGAGTCGATAAAATCAAAGTTCGCTTGGGGACGAAACACCGAGGGGACATGCGACAAGTAAGAAAAATCATTTTTGTTTAGGATACAAGTACTGCTTCTCAAATACTTTGGGTCATAACTTGATATTTTCACCTCGAACGGATTCAGACTTTCGCAGACAAATCTTCCAGTCAATTTTATAATCTTACAGTTGATCAAGAGGAAACCTGAAAATTTCGGGAACATCATTCTTTATACACACATTCAACAGACAGGCAAGCCAAACACTACTACCAGGTGGACACATAAGTATTTCTTCTTGATTCAATAAAAGGTAAGGAATGAAAGTGCACATTTGTATGTTTACTTCAACCTGAGAACTACTCCTTCGAGTGAGAATTATATAAGTGAATATATTCTCTTTAGACTACCGCTCAGATGGTATAGTGGTTAGGGAAGGCTACTGCGAAATCGAAGGGCCGGGCTCGAATCCCTGAGAAGGCATTGTTGTAAAAGTATTTCTGATTCACCACGGGGTATCTCTTTTCTAACATTACGATCATTTTTCTCAAAATCTGAATTTTTTGTTAAGGTATATTCTTCTTGCATTACTCCAAATCGAGAATCATAAATTATCCCAATCAGGAGCTTCTAAAAATGGGTAAAAGTAAAAAATATCTAAAATAAATATTTTTCCTTGAATGTAATGCTGTAGCATCTCGGAAACCAATCAATCTTTTTATCGAGTAGATAATTAGCTATGCTACAAATAGGTGAATACTAATGGTAAAACAATGGTGATAGCGGTTAATGTTATTATTCGGATATTGTTAGCAAATTGTCCCCCCAACTGCATGCCAAAAGATGGGAAATACGTCATTTGTTATGAACAAGTTTGGTTGATGCAGGGGTAGTCAACCTTTATACATCTACCCCCCCCACTTTGTACCCACGCAAATTTCCTTACCGCCCGCCGGTTTCGCAATAATTTAGTTGAGCGTAAATGCAAAGTAATTTTTTGAGCGGGGGCATAGTAAAATTATGTGTTGCTAAATTTATCCATTTATTTATACTTTGCTTATATTTATAAGAGATAGAAAATTAATGTCCTGCGTAATTAGCCGGGACATCGGTTCCAGCAAAACTGTTTCAGCTAGGAAACCTTCAGTGGTAAGAAAAGGAGAAGTTTGTTCCTCAGGAAATATTCTTCTACCCTCACGCTTTGTTAAGATGTGATAATCCCATTATGCGCATTATAGTCACGGAATAATACTTAAGAGAAGTGGTAAAGTCTTATAAATGTATGGAAACATGAGAGAGCTGCGAGCAGGAGACCGGACCTGCATCATCGGATGGATAAAAAGCCTCTACCGCCCACCATTAGAGCTTTAATAGCCCACTAGTGGGTGGTAGTTACCAGGCTATTATTCCTGGGTTAATGTTACCAAAATATTGCAGAATTAATTATTTTTTGAATTGAAGTAAGATCGCCAAATCAATTGGAAACAGAATATATATATTGCCAAATAAGAGAGACTTTGTAGCCAAGTAAGTGGTTAAGTCGCCAAGCAACTAGGTTTTGATTTAAGAGTACCATGTTCAAAGGAGCTTACTTCCAAATTTTAAGGAAGATCGACTGAATTAATCAGAATAAGCGAATAACGACGCTGAATTCTGTTTGCGCTAAAATATCTGAAAAGTATCTTTCGCAAGAAAAAAAAAAATGACAAAATTCAAGCTGCAGCATCAGTGACAGATGCAGATATCTGCTGCTTCTGTTACTGATGATAGAAGTAGGTATCTGCTGCTTGTGTAGATATCGGCTATGTCTGTCACTGACTTCTGTCATTCTCACAGAAGTAGATATCTGCTGGTAACTTTTCTGGAAAAAATCTAATAACTTCATGTGATAAACTTCCTGAAGAAGAAAATGATAAATTTTCTACAAGCGCTGAGCGGAGAGATATCCTGCAAATATTACATATATTTGTATTGAATTAGTTAAATCCAGCTATTATTTTAAGTGGCAGATTTTTCTCATCGTTTAATGAGATATGGCGATATCATTGATTATCTATTCTGATTATATTATCGAATGACGATATCGTTCGTTAATATTATCAGAATAGTGGTGGACAAACATGATCACATGAAGCGCCTCCTATTATATGAACTTTTCTGAAAATAAGAATATTAGACTTTGCTAAACCGATAAGATAATCGATGAATAAAAATAACGACAATTGAAAGATTTTATATGATCTTTTCTGAAAATAAGAATATTAGACTTCGCTAATTCGATAAGATAATCAATCAATGAATCAAAATAACGGTAACTGAAAGATTTATACGAATGTGAAACGCTTTTAAAAAATCTAATTCGACACGGAAGATCAATTTTGGATAATTTTCTCTACAGAAAAATGGAAAATGTGATTTTCAGATCAACAGTGTTGGACAACAGAGGATTTATCTATTTCCTTTCTCCTTAGATATGGCTCATGTTCCTTAGCGCAAAATTTTAAGGCCGAGGTGAATTAAATCATATTTGCATGAAATCCTGTATATATGTTATCGACAAAGTGTGAAACGACGGCATTCTATAGAATGCCTAGGCATTGTACACAAGGTGTCCCGTAAATGTTACGACAAACTTCTGGGCGAAGTAGAGCACATCATAAGGATTATGAATTGCATAGGAACCCCTGCCCAGAAACGAAATTGTACGCCGCCAGGGGGTATTGCAAAGGAGAGTGCTAGTAGAAAGTGAGGATTCTCTCATTCAAGCGGTAGGCACCATACGAAGAGCATGGAAAGCTATACTAACGGAGAGCTTGTGAACATGTGGTTCCAACATGATGCCAGAGGTTTAATCCTCTTGATATTTAAAACGTATTGTAGTTTCAGCAGTTTGCAATGTTTAACAAAAGGTGATATTTTTCCGAAAACTGGATTTAAAGTCACTAAAATCCTTCTTAAAACTTTTTGATCCATCATGTTCAATAACGGATACACAAAAACTTTCGTTAAGTCTTTATAACTAACTTAAAGGAAAAAATATTGAAAATTAGAGCTCAAGGAGCATTTGCAATCTTTAACTAAAATAATTATTTGTTTAAAAAATTTTTAATTTAAAATAAATTGAACTTTTGAACATACATTTTATAAACTAATGTTATAATATGTATATGTGTAAAATTTCTTGTTGGAAACACAAAAACTTAAAAAACTAATTTTTAAAGTCCACCGTCCCCTTAACAACTATTGTAGTATCCGCAGTTTGCGTACTACATACGTAACCTTTAAAAAAGGCCAGTCTTAGTGTTAGGTATTTGTAAACTAATTCAAAGTTAGCTCCCTTATTTAGAATTTTAGTTAGTAGTTTTATATTCTTACGTTCATACCACAAGTGGTTCGTCTCTGTATCCCGAAGTGCGGAAACACCTGTAATCTTATAGAGAATAAAGGGTAAAGTAAACCCTTCCTGCTTGTGTCATCCATTCCGCACATACTTGAACATAACTTTAATAAGCTTCCTATTCCTATTCAGGACACATCATGTTCCCTAAACAAGTCAAAAGACATATTAGTCCTGACAATTTTAAAAAATCAATGAAAGAGTGCCATTAAAACTGTTATTCGAAATACATAAAAAAAAAAGTTAGTGAAATGATCTTGATAGTAATCAATTTCTATATTCTAGCTGGCTGAGACTAAGAATCAGTAACGGAAATTAAATTCAGAAACAACAATGCCCTTATTTTAAATACCTTTGTGTCTCTTCTGGCAGGGCTCACAAAGGTGGTTGTAAATTTCAATATCATTACGTGAAACTTTGTGTATTTTGTTGCAAAGTCTTTCAGTATTCTGTTACGTCGTCCGTGTCCAGAACTCAAATGAATTTTTATGAAGTACGGGAAATATGTCAGCGTCCGTGACGTAATACTGTATAGTAATGACGCTTTCTTTAATAAGATAAATGGAATGTAATTTTGTTTTCCAAAAAACATCATATCCTAGAGATTGAGCAGCCAGTAGTCCCGTGGTTCCTTCTTAGTAGTCATTTTGGCCATTTCACATTATTTTATTAACTTCTGGTAAGTAATTTGGTTCTTCGAAATGAATCGGAAATGTATTTCATACTTTGCCTGTTTGTCATTTGGCATTCTATAGAATGCCTAAGAAATGTATGAAATATGAATCGTTTCATACATTGCCGGCTAGTTTTAGGCATTATATACAATGCCGGATTTCAAACTTTGCCGGTAACATATATACTATATTTTGAGTTCGGCCTGAATATGCAACCGGATAGTATCTGGTTTTAAATCG